CCCTAAACCCGAGGCCCTAAACCCTCTAAGCCCTAAGAGGATGCTCCTTCGCTGCGCAGCTGGACCAGCTCCGCTGGGGTTAGCCCGTCGACGAGGCCTTGGCACTGAATTCAGGGTCTTGGTTTAGGGGCTTGCGCTTCAGACCTTCAGGGTCATGGTTTATGGGATTAGAGTTTAGGGTCCTAAGTACCCTAAACCCTAAACCCTAAGTGGTAGGATTTCGGTTAGTGGTTTGCTTTTATTTGCGTCTCTGTCATTAGGGTCTCCTTACCACCTCGCAAGTCCGTCTGCTGCAGAAGGCTCTGTGGGTTTGGGGTCTAGGATTGTGAATCCTAAGTGCCTACATGGCACAGAGTACGATTTCAACTGGTTTTGAAATTTGCAATAAGCCCTAACCGGATTGCTTTGGAAGGGTTGCGGAGTCGCGGAGGAATCTAAAGGATGTTAGGGGGGGGGTTCTCAAGTACATTGGGACTGGGTGGAGATGCGAATGCCTGAACCTTTTTATTGGATTTTGGGAGTTTTGCTCGTCATATGAGTTTAGGGCTTGCAGACACCATAGCATAGAAGGCTCAGAATCAGCCCAACTCGATATGGCATGGAAGCTCTTTTGTGACTTCAGGGTTTAGGGTCTCCTATGTTGGTCGGGTCTCTGTCACTCCCGCGGCATCTACCTATAGTCTCCATTGTNNNGGTTACATTATAGGATCCTTAATATAGTATTGGTTAAACCAAAAAAAGGAACTACAATGGAAACTATAGGTAGGGTTGAGGTGTAGGATTGACAACCTTCAACCCTGGCTCTACGGCATTTCGATTGAAGGGGCTCATGCTTTTAAGGCATCTGGGTCCGAATCTAAGGCCTTCGGCTATGTTAAGCCCTACCCTGAACCCTGACCCGTACGCCACACCGGGACCGTAAAGAACCTACGCCTACGCTTTTCAGGACTTATGGTAATTTAAGGAGCCCTAATGGGGCTCAGGTAAACCTCAAACCCAGGCAGGGGGACGTCGCATAGGACTCATCGACGCCTCACGGCACACGAGTTGGACCTGGGCAGACGATTCAGTCGATGGGATCCGGACTAATTTAGGTTTAGTATCCCCATACAGTAACAGTCCATAAGCGGGCTTACTATTAATAGGGGCCCTATATGTCCATGTTATGAGACCTTCTAAATGTTATTCAACTGTTGTAGGATCTTTATAAGGCCTGTGTAGAGTGTAAGTAATGGTATAAAGTGCTAAATATGGTCTACATACTATGTTCTGAGTTGTACAGGGCGTTTTTTGTATTGGGTTTCGGGTTTCAATGGATTTAGCTATTATCGCTTGGAGTCACTGGGTTCTGGGTTCTCTGCTTTCTGCAAGGTCGAGGAAGTTCGGCTTCAGCTGTAGGATCTAATCTTCGAGTTGCGGGCCATCTATTCCGGCATGCTGCTTCTGAAACCGTACGGTGCGAAAACCCTGCATCCTATAACACCTTCAGTCCGAAGCTAGAACGAGGTGACAGAAAGGCGAAGCTGATTTGAGTCGCCGAAGTGGACGAAAAAAACACTCAACCCCAGAATCTTGTCAGTTTCAGGGTGTAAGGTTTGGGCTTGATGTGGAGCTTCGCATTTTGTACTCAGGAACTATATGCCCTGAACATGTTGGTAGCTTGACCGCGGAACTGCCCTGAATGAACCCAGTCTTAGTCAGAAGGCGCTGTACCCGACCCGCAAACAAAACACATTCCAAACCCTGCGGTTTTGAAACTGGCTTGGTGGCTGCCAAGATTTCAGACCTTATAAAACCCCAAACTTCAATAAGCCTAAAGTATTTTGGCGAGCAGCATCGGCCCCGCTGTATCGCTCCAGCTGAGATGCGACGAGGGGCAAATCTACATCCTCGGGCTTTGGCATTGGGCTTAGGGCTAGAACTTAGGGCTCAAATGGGCTAACATAGGGTTTAGGGCGTAGGGCTAGAAGGGGCTGTAAAGCTTCCCGTTTGGGGCTCACGGTATCTTGCTTCGGCTCGGGCTTCGGATTCAGCATCACGGAGAGTCGTGTCCAGATCCACATGCGATAGAAAACCCTGAACAACGCAAACCAAACGGGCCCTAAACTCTAGACATGTGGCCGACACAGTTAGGTCGATCACCTGCCTTACCGCTACGGAGCTCCAACTACTTAAAAGGCAGGTTGCTAACCATATAGAATATGTATAGAATATACCCCGGTCAACCGTTGTTTAGGTGACAGGAGCCCTAGGGTACCTTCGCCTACAATCCGACATGGAAACCACAACTGGACCTTCAAAGCTGACCCGGTGTCGGCTTTGAGATTTCTACCGTGTATGTCGGTCTACCTTAAGAACCCAAAGAGGGTCCCTATAAATCCCATATTAGGGTTTATAATAAGAACCTACAAAAAAGTGGGTTTTGGGTTCTTAAGGTAGGGTTAAGGGCTTTTTGGGTTTAGAGTTTCGGCGCTCACACTCGGACAATCCAGGCGAGGGAGTTTAGGGTTTGGGGATGTTCGGGGTTCAATATCTTAAGAAGAAGGAAGGAGCTGCACTCAAAGTTGTCTGATTTAGCCTGCGACCAGCTGGCTCTCTCGCTATCACCACATGCCAACTACAAGTTGCTGCCACTGGTTGGGTTCAGGGTTGCTTTTTCCTGGCACTGGAGTTATGACAAGGAGCCCTACCCTAAAGCCTAAACCCCAAACCCTACAGGCTTCAGTTGTCGGGGAGCGAGTCGGCGCACTAAGGAGTCCGCAAGCTCTTTTGCTCTTGTGCCCGGCCTCGGCGAGCACGATGTCCTGACGGTTTAGGGTTTAGGCTTCAGGGTTTCGGCCCTCACGCTCAGACTAAACCCTAAAACATCATCACTAGACCCTAACAATCGGGGTTTACACTCTCACAACTCGGACAAGCCAGGCGGGTTTAGGGTTCAAGGTTTAGGCGTTGGGACCCCATCCGAACCAAGATCGTTGCGTCAAGGCTCTTTCTTTTCTCGATCCTCTTCTCTATGCTTCCCAAAGGTCACTTAAAACCCTAAGGGTCCATGTGCTCATATAGTGTAGACATTGGCCTTAATGTAGTCTCTATATAAGTACTTTAGGGCCCATGTATATGCTATATGAGTACATGGACCCTTAGGGAAACTTAAGGCTTTAGGCAAAATTTCAAATTCGCTGTATTGTATGTAGTATGGTTTAGGGCTTCAGGATTAGAGGGATGCCGGGACTGCTGGAACAGGAAGCTGAACACTTGGGCTATGAGTACATGGAACTGAAACCACACTGGTGGGAATCGTCACGGTCGGGGCCGTTTCTGTTTCCGGTTTGGGCGGGTGTTGGGGCAGGGGGAACTAGCACTAGAATTGAAATGAGGCTGCCCCACCCAATGCTGGACCTGCACGGCTAAAAACCGTGCTGTCCGGGATATTGATCCAGAGCACTGATGTCCTCACAACCCTAGAATTTTACTGAGGCCCGAGTAATTACAGCAGGGTTCCGGGGCTGGGCTTCAGTCGCTTCATGCGTTGATAAAAACAGAGGTCCACAATGGAACAATACATTCAGGCTCCTACATCACACAACATGTACAGGCCGTCATCCTAAACCCTATGAACCTTAAGCCCTGAGCCTCACACCCTGTAAGCCCTAAGCCGCATCCCGGTATTCCTTGAGGAAGTGCTCCAGCATCCGCAGTCGAGCGGCTTCTTCCGGCAAAGGGATGTAGATCCTCGCTGCATCAGTGCGCCCTGAAGGGTTCCAGATTCCCTTTAACGGTACTGCAACGTTTCATACGGTTTCGGTGAAGGTTCCATAAGCGCTGATTTGGGCTGCCACAAGGATCCATTTCAGTTCTATGAGGGCTCAATGAATAAGTGACTGGGAAGGTCGGGCTCAAAAGGACTTAGGGTTTAGAGAGGTTCGGGGGATTAACGGGCTACAAGAGGTGATCGGCTTCTTGGAACGGGGGGTCGTAATTAACGAAAACATTGGCGTAATCAGACGAAACCTACAGTAGGCAGAAGATCACAGCAGGCTTTCATCCGTTCAGTCGTTTGCATATCCGAAAGCCCGAAACCGTAGAGGTTGAGGCTTTCGAGGACATGGGTCTTTCCTACAGCAGAGTTTTTTGGAGGTCGCGAGTGCAAGCATGCTTGTTGGGGGAAGAAGTAGGGGCATCATGTTAGACCGCAATTTTAGACTCTGAATAACCCCCTTTTCCAACATCGAGTATAACAAGAGACGGGGTTCTAGATGCCAGAGGTGTACATTGCGCATATTACTATGAGAGGCCGCTCGGCACTTCGGATGCCAAGACTTTCGCTGCCCAAGGGATACCTTACATACCTTCTCCGAGGACACAGCGAAGGCTTGAAATGCCAAGCAGACAGCCTTAAGATAGAACACCGTAAAGAATCGATGTGGGGCTTTCGGATTTCAGGTTTACGGAAGGCTTTCAGGGATGAGTTGGGGTAAGCAGAATGCAGAGTTGGCTGGTGTTACACATGTTCTACCAAAACATGGCCTGATACCCGGGGCCGTGAAGACCGATCCCAACACATCCAACCGTAGGATCTAGGAACGGCGCTAAGCCCAAGTCTTCAGTTTAGGGTTTCGGGTTTAGGGTGCCCAAGTCGAAGGTGCTGCAACCACACCCCTGACTATCAGGAGGGCCAGCCGAAACTTTCCGAGGACTTCATACAGGGACGACAAACCCATCCTGGTGCTAACGCGAATCAGAATACAAAGGTCCAAAACAGACGCTACATAGTAGGATCCTTGCTGGACAGAGCCATGGCATGAAGAGCACTAACCTAAACCCTAAACCCTACACCCTACACCCTAAACCCTAAACCCTAAACCCTAAACCAGCAAAACTAAGGCACAATGTCATGGAAGAAGGCTGCACGAAAACCTGATTGGGCTTCCCTCTGCCCCAGTACAGGTGCCATGGTATACATGCATAAGTCTATAAAGAAATTAGTTTGTTGTGTATATGTCTAACACTATATAGAATGATGTGAAATTGGGGTATACTGTACTGCCGAAGTATACGGACTATGACGGTTTCTGGATTCTGCATATAACTCACACGAGACTCAAGTGCAGATTCGTTGTAGCTTTGTGTTCCCTCGTGTTGTCCGCTACTTGCGCCGTTTGGATAGCTTACCATACCGGGCCTTTATAATTAGAACCAGGTTTTGGGGTATATCATGCTATAAATATAAAAAACCCAAAATAATATAGGTAATTATGTAGACCCCTACATTACCCGTTTACTAATAATTATACTCCAAACCCTATTCCAATGATTAAGGCTCCTACACCCTAAACCCTTATAGTAGCTCTTATAGAACCCTTTAAGGAGCCCTTGAAAGGAACCCTATAAAGCCCTATTCTAATCATTGAGGCC